TGGCTCCCTTGCTGAACACGGCCGCAGCTTGCGTGAGCTTCCCCGGCGTCAGCGCGGCAAGGTCTGCGATGCATTCGCCGAGGCGCTGCGAGGGCTCGAATTTCCTAGCATTTTTTGTTGCTTTTCTGCGCCATAGACATTGCTGGGCCGTGAGCAGGTCCGCGTGGCGACGCCGACGCGGCACGGTGCATTCAGGCGCTGGTGGCGCGAGCCCATTGTCGGGCACCGAGAAATCCTCGGACCTCGTACTCGAGCTCCTCGCGGGCCAGCAAGCACCCGCACGACTCGTCGTATGTCTAGCTCGTTTCCTTCTCGAGTCCGAACGCGCCGCCCCCGCGCGGAAACGCAGCGGGGTCGAATGCGCTCCAGAAACCTGGGGAGATTATGCCAAAGGGCTCAGTTCCAGTGGGCACGACGACGCGGATCACGCGCCTCGCGTCCCCGCCCTGGGCGCCCCTGGCGTCGACGCCCCCGGCCGGCGCGCCGCCGCCGCCGCCGCCCTCCAGCGCGCGACGCGGCAAAGCCCTGGGGCCCTGGGGGAGGGCGCATGGCCTGAATCTGCTGTTGCGTCTTGTCCATGCACTTTTCCATTGGTTCCACGTTGCAGGCCGGCGCAGCCTTCTGAGCTTCTGTCGCAGCCTCCGCCACGCGCCTCTCGAGATCTCGGTCCTGGAAGTTCTCCATGCCCTCCAGCTGATGCGTGGGCGCCTCCACCTTCTGCTTCTCGGCAGCGACCAGCTCCGCCTTCTTCCGCTGCTGGTCCAGAGCAACCATGTCAGCGTCCGCAGCGGCGGCGCAGTACTCGCTCTCTTCGACGCGCCCCCCCCCCCCCTCCGCAATCTCGCCCTCGTCGGCCCCTGAGCCTTCCCGCCGGCGCCGGCAGCTCCCCCGTCGCCAGGGGCGCCGACTCCACGAAGACTGGCAGCGCTGCGCCCCCCGCCCTCGCCCCCGGCCTGCCCCCCGCCGTCGGTCGCGGCGCCCGCGCCGCCCCCCGCGCTCGCAGCGCCTCCCGTCTTCGGCGGGGCCAGGCCAGAGGCCAGACGGCGCGCGGTATCGGCCGGGCCCTCCTGGCGAGCGTCGCCGCCCCACCCCCCCGCGGCCGCGCGCGCTGCGAGACGGCGCGGCAGGTCGGCGCCGACGAGGTGTCGCTGGGAGACATCCGTGGGCCAGGAACGACGGTTTGTTGTCCCGCCAGCAGCGCCTGGGCGCAGGTCGCGTTGGCGTCATCACCCCGAAAGCTGGCGAGCATGGCCCTGAGCTTGTGACGGTGTCGTGGCTGAAAGCGAAGGCAACAGCCAGCGGACTGCGCGTTGGAGAAGCCAGGAAGGGGGCCAAGGCTTCGGGTGAGGGGGCCAATCCCAACATCTGCCACGCTCCGTGCCGCCCTCCACTCCGCGCCAGTTACGCCGGCCGGCGCCATGATGCCGCCGCCCCGGCGGCTGCCCCCGTGGCGCCCGCGCCCGCGGGCTTCAACGCCGCTGGCAGTGGCGACGCTGCGCTGATCCCGACCCCCCCGGAGGGCGGTGGCGACGCCGGCGCGCCCGCGACGCCTGTGAAGCGCCAGCGCCCCCATCCGCTACTGATGTGGTTGAGAGAGAACATCGAGGACGCCGACTGAAGGCCAGGTGACTGGTCCGACCCATGGCGCGCGTGCATGTGCGTCGACGACGACAGCGAGCACGTCTGGGAGCACCGTTGGCAAGATGGCCACAGTCAACGAATCTGCGTCTCGACGGCCACGTGCCGTGTCAGCTTTTTGATATGGCATGGAAGCCCTTGAGAAAGATTGCAATCAATCGCATGTCAAATCTCGGTGCCTGCCCGACTACACATTTTAATGCTTTCTCGTCGGGTGGATGCCCCGCGACTCTGTGCGCCCAGGTTGTTCGCGTGATCTTCATGATTTCATCGTGTTCGTAACAATCAAATTGTAGCGTAGGCCCAGCTACCTTCATGCATTTGCTGTTTAGTTGTTTTTGGGACGTAATCTCTGACGATGCGAGAGAAAGCAGAGTCGTTGACAATGCAATGAATCCTGGCGGAAGTTGGGAGACATCGTGTAGCTCGTAATGCCACTTTCATGGCTTAACACTTGGCAAGTGATTGGTCAGCGTTATCCGTTTTTGTGGACATTCTGTTGCTGCAGGAACCAATGCACCACTTGACCCCTGAGGATACTGAGTGTCTGACTCCTGGATTCTTTGACGTGACGTCGTGCGGTTCGTTGATACATTATCTTGCTTTCGGCACGACATATCACGAATGAAGTTGGGCGATTTGCCTGCCGCGCCTGTGGCAGGTGACGTTTGCGCCGCCGACTCCGCTTGGTCGTCGGCCGTGCTGCCCATCATATTTTCTTCTCTTCTCTTGATTCTCCATGTCTCACCATTCCGTAGCTTCCCCGTGCCCGCGAAGCTTTTTTTTCAGAGGGCGTGCAACAGGGGGGCTGAAGGCCCCTGGCACGGATAGTGGGTACTTAGCAGGTCCTTTCTTACCTCGCTTGCCGTTTGGGGCGTTGCAGTGCGGGGAGTTCGAGATGCGAGATGGTAGTCGACCTCTATCAACGAAGCCTTGTCCGCTGGCGTTGTCGTGGGACATTCCCCAGTGCGGGATTCGGGGCGGTGTGTGTGTGCTTGTGTGTGTGTGTGTGTGTGTGTGTGTGTGTGTGTGCGTGTCAATTTATTCTATTTCCCACTCCTGACTCTTTTCAAACGCTGCCTCTCTCGGCTCAGGTACTGGAGATGCGCAGTCTGACGTGACTGGGCAGCATCGAGGGATAGAAACATTTCATCGTTGTCATCCTCACTCACTTGCGAACGAGCGTTTTCTGCCGTTGCTGGCAGGAAGCCGGGGGGGGGCGCTGGGGTTCCAAGCCCGCCCCCCCCCCTCCCCCTCTTGAAAACTTGGGGTGGGGGTGGGGTGGGGCGCTGGGTGTTCCAAGCCCGCCTCCACCCCACTCCCGTTCCATCATGAAAAGGGGGGGCCGCTGCGGGTGCCAGCCCCCCCCCGCCCCACCGACTTGCCGCCGGCAAACGACTCCCCCTCCTCTCCCCCCCCGCTCCGGATCGGAGAATTGTGGTGGGGGCAGTGGTGGGGGCGGTGGTGGCAGTGGTGGTGGGGGCGGTGAGGGCAGTAGGACAGCGGGGGCTGGGGACAATTGGGACGGTGGGGAAACGATTCCCCCTCCTCCCCCACTCCGTATGGGCGACTGTGGTGGGGGCTGTAGTGGGGACGGTGGTGGGGACTGTGGCGGGGACAGTGGTGGGGGCGGTGGTGGGGATGGTGGTGGGGGCGGTGGGGACAGTGGGACAGTGGGGACAGTGGGGACAGTGAGACAGTGGGGAAACGTTTCCTCCTCTTCCCCCCACTCCAGATGGGGGGCTGTGGTGGGGGCTGTGGTTGGAATGGTGGTGGGGGTGGTGGTGGGGAAGGTGGGGGCAGTCGGGCAGTGGGGGCAGTGGGACAGTGGGCCAGTGGGGACAGTGGGACAGTGGGGACAGTGGGACACTGGGACACTGGGGGCAGTGGGGACACTGGAGATAGGATAGTGGGGCAGTGGGACAATGGGGACCATGGGATAATGGGACAGTGGTGCAGTGGGGACAGTGGTGGGGACAGTGGTGGGGACAGTGGTGGGGGCAGCGGTGACAGTGGTGACAGTGGGACAGTGGTCGGGACAGTGGGGACAGTGGAACAGTGGTGGGGACAGTGGGAACGGTGAGACGGTGGTGGGAACATGGGGGACAGGGGGGAGAGTGGAACCGTAGTGGGGACAGTGGTGGGGGCACTGGGGACACTGGGACATTGGTGGGAGCAGTTGGGTCAGTGAGGATAGTGGAGATAGTGGGACACTGGGGACAGTGGGACAGTGGGGGCAGCGGGACAGTACGACAATGGGGCACTGGTACAGTGGACAGTGGGGACAGTGGGGGCAGTGGATATAACAGTGGGACAATGGGGATAGCGGGGCAATGGGACAGTGGAACAGTGGGGACAGTGGTCGGGACAGTGGGACGGTGGTGGGGACGGTGGTGGGGACGGTGGTGGTGGGGACGGTGGTGAGGCGGTGGCGGGGACGGTGGTGGGGACCGACGAGTCAGTAGGGGGTGGGCGGTGGTGGGGACCGGCGGCGAGTGCGGGTGAGGGGGGGGATTCGAACCAGTAGTGACCCCCCCGGTTTTCGGGGTAATGGGGGGGGTGGGGGGGTTGGGGAAGGGGGTGTTTTGCCGAGGGAAAAGGAGGGGGAGGAGTTTGAAATAGGGGGGGGGATTTTCGGGGGGAGGGGCGCTGGGTCCGGAGGGAGGGGAGGGGGGATTTTGCACAGCATAGCGGCGGGGGATCACGCTCTCTCCTGCAAATCTCTTTCGGATGGACGGTTAGGCTCGTCGGCGCCCTACTTCCGTTCACAGTAGGAGCCGCCCTCCGCGAGTCGGTGAGCCAGAACTCCTCGCAGCGGCCGTTTCGGCCCTGGCCGAGCTGGAAACCGGGCCGCTGCATGCCACCACCCACCAAACCGCCCCAACCCAGCCCGAAGCCCCACGCTGCCCTCCATTCCCAAAGGGGGGGCGTCAGGGAACATCGAAAAACGGATGAAGCCCGGACCCCCCCAACCCGAAATTCGGGTCATCGGGTGGTTTGGTGGGCAGTCAGCCTGGCCGCCAGCCGAGTGACGATGCTGGCGAGGCTGGGTTGGGAGCCCGCCGTCCGTCGCCAGGCTGCTCTGGGCGCGCAGCGCAGGCGCGGCGCCGCAGCGGCGCTCGCCGCCGGGGCGGCGGCGGCCGCCGCCGCCGCACAGTGGCCCGCCGCCCGCCCCTGCGCGCCCTCGCGCTGCGACGGTCTCGACGGCGAGCCCAGGTCTTGGCGTCGCTCTGACGTTTTTTTTTTGTTTTTTTGTTTTTCTCTTCCCCCCCTCTTCCTTTTTTTTTCTGTCTGGGAGGGCCATCGAGGAGCATTCTGGATCATCTTGCGGAAAGATACGCACTAAGCCGAAAAGTGCACGAGGAAGGGACGTCCGAGCGATGGCAAGAGGTGGGCGGTGAGGATCGCGCAGGCGCCGGGGTGCGCCAGGCCGCTGGAGCTGCTGGAGGGGCGGTTCGTTTTCGCGGACGGCGCTGGGGTACACATCTATCGAAGAAGAACAGCTGCGCAAATGCGACTTTCGGAGATCTGCGCGGTCTTCTCGGATCGGCGGTGTGGCTCCTGGCGGCGCCTCGGGCGCTGGCTCTGGCGCGCTCCGCGCTCGCCGATGCAAACAGTCCGCTTGGAACTCCGAAAGTTTAGTCTTGTGCAGTTTTTTCATCCTCTATCGTCTGGCCCGCTGGCAGGGCGCTGTTGGAGTACCTCCACGGCGTCGGTGTCGACAGCGACGCCGACACGCCTTCGGCCAACGCTGCGGCGAGCTGGCGCGGCAGGCGCGTACTGGAGCTTGGTTGCGGCTGTGGTTTCGTGGCGGCCGCGCTGGCGCACTGGGGGTGTGAGGTCGTGGCGACGGACGTCAACGACAGGGCTCTCGAGTCGAAGAACAATAACGGCACAAACATAAACTTTCGGAGCTCCGCGCGGATTCCTTCTGGCGGCGCCAGAGGCGCGCTCCGCCCGCCAGGGAGGGGTGCCCCAGCGGCGATCCAAACATTCCGCGCGGATCTCCTAACGATTATGCTCGTGCTGTTCTTTCATCTTCTGTCGAGCTGGCTGGCGCGAACGCGGAACTCTGCGCGCGCGAGGGCGCCGCCTTCCGCGTGCGGCGGCTCGACTTCAGCGACCCTGCGGCGTGCGCGCGGCTGCGGGACGAGCTCGGGCCGTTCGCCTGCGTCGTCGCGTGCGACTGCGTGCTCGCAGCCCCGCCCAGCGGCCCCATGTGGCGCTCCAGCGCGGCGGGCGCGGCGGCCGTCGCGGCGCCCCCAGAGGCGCTGCTGAACGCTACCCGCGAGCTGGGCCCCGCGGGGCCCGAGGTGGTGCTGGCCGTGGTGGACCGCGGGGGCGACGTGCAGGCCACGGCGCGGGCGCTGCTGGAGAGGCGCCACTGGCTGCAGCTGGTGGACCTGCCCCGCCAGCTGCCCGCCAAGGACGGCGGCGCCGCCGTCACGATCTTCCACTTCATCGGAGGAGGGGTAACGGCACAAGCATTGACTTTCGGTTGGGGTAGGCGGAGTGTCAGCGAGCAAGCGAACGTTTGTCTGTTCAACGTGCAGCATATCGGCTCAGCGGCAAGGGCGGCCGCAAGCCCAGGTGAGAGGTCCTAATGCTCGCAGGGTCAGAGCAAGTGCACAGTACATATTTGCGTCTTGATTCGCGCTGTCGTCTCACATCGGAGCTCCGCGCGGACTTCTTGGATCGGCACTGGAGCTCCCTCTGTTGGCGCCTCCGGCGCCGGCCCTGGCGCGCTCCGCGCGCCAGGGAGGGGGGGCCCCAGCGCTGGTCCAAGGACCCCGCGCGGAGCTCCGAAAGTTTATGTTTGTGCTGTTTTCTCTTCCTCCGAGCTTCCGCTGGAGGGGCGTGCGGGGCGGCGGGGGCGAGTCCGCGGCGGCGCTGTGGGAGAGCGCGTGAGGGTCGAGGCGGGGATGGCCACCGCCTGGAGGATCGAGCCTCGGGGACCTCGGCAGGCGGTGGATGTGGACATATTCGGGGCCCCTGGAGCCCCAATGAGGCCATTTCCACCGCCCCCTACAACCTTCCGCTAAAGCAGACGCCAGTTTGCATCCGACCCCTCGCCCCTCGTTTCAATGTTCAGCGACGCGCGTAACGCGGCCCGCGGGGTCCGACAGACAGGTGGCAATTCGCCGGCTTCGGCGCGAACACTGACATTGGGGGTCCAGGGGCGCCGCCACGTCGTGGGGCTGAAAACTCGCGTTTGCCTTTGCGGGGGGATGTAGGGTCCAAGGACATCGGTTTCCCAGGCGGCGGGTGTGGCGAAGTTCCCGCCTCGCGCGAGCGTCGCTGCGCTGGGGCCCGGTCTTGGCGCGCGGGGGTGGCGCTGCGCCAGCCGCTGCCGCAGGGGTGCTCGCGAGGCGCGGCGTACGCCGTGGGGCTCATGGGGCGCCCGTGGCTTCGGCTCCCCACGGGGGCTGTCGGGGCCGTGTTGGTGCCGTCCTGGGCCTCTCGTCGAAGCAGAAATGACCACAGCAAGTCACCATAATAGCAGCAAAGGTGATGAGGCGGGTCGAGGAGTAGGATCTCGGCTCTATGGGGACAGGGTTGAGAGCATGGCCATGTGCGTCTTAGTTAATTTGTGACACGGGATCGTGGCCCTCTGGACCGATCATGCGGCGAGAGCACGATTATCGATTGCATTTTAGGGGAATCCTCATGCGAGACGACTGGCAGACCAAACGTTCTCGGGCTCCCCTTCCCTTTTCTGGACTCTTCCCATCATTGGTATTACTGTTATTGTCGTTGTTGTCGTTGGTGTTGTTGCTACTACTGCTGTTGTTGTGGTTGTCGTAGTTGTTGTTGTTGCGGTTGCTGCTGCTGTTGTTGTTGGTGTTGGTGTTGGTGTTGTTGGTGGTGGTGTGGGGTTGTTGTTGTCGTTGTTGTTGTCGTTGTTGCTGTTGTTGTTGGTGGTGATGATGTTGTTGTTGCTGTTGCTGCTGCTGTAGTGTTGTTGTTGCTGTTGATGCTGCTGCTGTTTTTGTTGTGGCTGTTGTTGTTGCTGTTGTTGTTGATGTAGTTGTTGTTATTGTTGTTGTTGTTGATGTAATGATTGTTGTTATTGTTGTTGTTGCTGTTGTCGTCGTCGTTGTTGTTGTTGCTGTTGCTGTTGCTGTTGCTGTTGTTGTTGTTGTTGTTGTTGTTGTTGTTGTTGTTGTTGTTGTAATTGTTGTTGTTGTCGTTGATGCTGGTGCTGCTGCTGCCGTTGTTGTTGTTCCTGCTGCTGTTGTTGTTGCTGTCGTCGTCGTCGTTGTTGTTGTTACTGTTGTTGTTGTTGTTGTTGTTGTTGTTGTGGTTGTTGTTGTAGTTGTTGTATTTGTATTTGTATTTGTTGTTGTTGTTGTTGTTGTTGTTGTTGTTGTTGTTGTTGTTGTTGTTGTTGTTGTCGTTGTTGTTGTTGTTTTTGTTTTTGTTGTTGTCGTTGTTGTTGTTGTTGTGGTTGTTGTTGTTGTTGTTGTTGTTGTTGTTGTTGTTGTTGTTGTTGTTGTTGTTGTTGTTGTTGCTGTTGTTGTTGCTGTTGTTGTTGCTGTGCTGGTGGTGGTGGTGGTGTTGTTGTTGTTGGTATTATTTGTATTTGTTGGCTGACGCCACACCGCCGACCCCTTGGGGCGGCGGCACTCGTCCCCCGCGTGGCCTGTCCGGACAGCCTGTGAGGCCCCTCTAGACACGTTTTGGAGCCCTCTTGGGACCGTCCTGCCGTTCCCCGGGGCCGTTGCTATGGTTTCTGGGGCCTTCGTGGGAAGCCCAGAGGCCGTCGTGGAGCTTTTTGGAGAGTCTCTTGAGGTGCCAGAGGTCAATCTTGGAGGTTTACTGGGCCGTTGTGGGCCTCGTGGAAGCCCAAGAAGCGAATATGCTGAAAATGTACGTTTTCCCTCGGGAATGGGACGGTTTTTGCTTCTGGAGGCCTGCTTGGAGCGCCTCGTGGTCGCGTATGCAAACGTGTTGGACGCCCATGGGGTTGTCTGGAGGCATTCTTGGGCGGTTTGGACCGAATCGTCCCCCGCGTGGGCCGTCCGTCCGGACAGCCTTTGGGAGCCCTCTTGGCCCGTTTTGGAGCCCTTTTGGGACCGTCCTGCGGCTTTCCTGGGCCGTTGCTATGGTTTCTGGAGCCTTCGTGGATCGCCTGGAGGCCGTCTTGGAGCCTTCTTGGGAGCCTCTTCGGGTGACAGGGGTCGATCTTGGAGGTTTATTGGGCCGTTGTGGGCCTCGTGAAAGCCCAAGAAGCGGATGTGCTGAACATGTACGTTTCATTCTCTTGCACAGCTGTGCTCTAGAGCTCGGACCTCTTTATTTTCGTTCGTTCGTCGTCGTCCCCGGCCCCTGGTCCGGTCCCACCCTGGACCCAACCTCCCCACCTCGTCCTGGCCTCAGCCCCCCTCGCCCCGCTGGCCCTGGTCCTGGACCCAGCCTCCCCCCCCCTGGCCCTGGCCCCAGTCCCCCTCGCCCTGGACCCTTTATTTTCGCTTGTCGTCGTCCCTGGTCCGGTCCTGGCCCTGGACCCAACCTCCCCCCTGGTCCTGGCCCCAGTTCCCCTCGCCCCGCTGGCCCAGGGCCTGGACCCAGCCTCCCCCCCGCCGGCCCTGTCCCCAGTCCCCCTCGCCCTGGACCCTTTATTTTCGTTTGTCGTCGTCCCTCTGTTCCCGGCCCTGGACCCAATCTCCCCACCTGGCCCTGGCCCCAGCCCCCGTCGCCCCGCTGACCCTGGCCCTGGTCCGGTCTTGGCCCTGGACCCAACTTCCCCCCTTGCTGGACCTTTTATTTTCGTTCGTCGTCCCTGGTCCGACTCTGGCCCTGGACCCAACCTCCCCACCTGGTCCTGGCCTCGTGGAGCGCCCCGCTGGCCTTGGTCCTGGACCCAGCCTCCCTCCCCTGGCCCTGGCCCCAGTCCTCCTCGCCCTGGACCCTTTATTTTCGCTCGTCGTCGTCCCTCTGGTCCTGGCCCTGGACCCTGCCTCCTCCCCTGGCCCTGGCCCCGGCCCCCTTGGACCCGGACCCGGCCTCTCCCCCTCCGGCCCTGGCCCCAGTCCCCCTCGCCCTGGACCTTTTATTTTCGTTCGTCGTCGTGCCTGGTCCGGTCCTGGCCCTGGACCCAACCTCCCCACCTGGTCCTGGCCCCAGCCCCCCTCGCCCCGCTGGCCCTGGCCCTGGACCCAGCCTCCCCAGCCCCGGCCCTGGCCCCGGTCCCCCTCGCCCTGGACCCTTTATTTTCGTTTGTCGTCGTCCCTCTGGTCCTGGCCCTGGACGCTTCCTCCTCCCCTTGCCCTGGCCCCAGCCCCCCTTGCCCCGCTGGCCCTGGCCCTGGACCCAGCCTCCCCCCCCGGCCCTGGCCCCAGTCCCCCTTGCCCTGGACCCTTTATTTTCGTTTGTCGTCGTCCCTCTAGTCCTGGCCCTGGACCCTGCCTCCTCCCCTGGTCCTGGCCCCAGCCCCCCTCGCCCCGCTGGCCCTGGTCCTGGACCCAGCCTCCCCCCCCCCTGGCCCTGGCCCCAGTCCCCCTCGCCCTGGGCCCTTTGTTATATTGCGCAGCTGTGTTCTAGAGCTCGGACTCTTTATTTTCGTTCGTCGTCGTCGTTCGTTCGTCGTTCGTCCTCCCCCCGGCGGCCACAAAAGTAAACTCCTGGAGGAAAGAGGCGAAAGCCTCCTGTCTCTCGCGGCTCCTTAGTGCAAGAGCCAGGGCACGCGTGCCACTTGTTTAGGGAATGGGATGGTTTTTGCTTGTGGAGGCCTTCTTGGAGCGCCTCGTGGTCGCGTTTTCAAAAGTCTTGGACACCCATGGGGCCGTCTGGCGGCGATCTTGGGCGGTTTGGACCGAATCGTCCCCCGCGTGGGCCGTCCGGACAGCCTTTGGGGGCCCTTTGCCTCGTTTTGGAGCCCTCTTGGGACCGTCCTGCGGCTTTCCTAAGCCGTTGCTATGGTTTCTGGGGCCTTCGTGGATCGCCCTTTTTGGGAGCAAATGTTCGTTTTACCTAGGGAATGGGACGATTTTTGCTTCTGGAGGGCCTCTTTGGGGCGCCTCGTAATATTGTTTCAAACGTCTTGGGGACTTATGGAGCCGTGTGGAGGCAGGAGGAGATGGGGGGGGGGGGGGAGGAGAGAAGGAGGAGGAGGAGGAGGAGGAGGAGGAGGAGGAGGAGGAGGAGGAGGAGGAGGAGGAGGAGGTCCGTAGCCATTTTGGCTCAAGTTGGAACCTCGGAGCCCTGGGGGCTTCAACTTGTTCGCAGCCGAGGGGCAGGCCCAAAGTCCCAATTTCAGGCTGCCACGCACGCTCCTGCTGTAAGTCGGCCCCGACTGCAGCAGTCTGTTTTGGCCACCACGCCACAAGCATGTCGAGTCATGTCCCTTCTCCAGAGGAGCTGGAGCATGATAGGAAGCGAATGGCGGAGTTGCTCGAAACTGCCCCCACCTTTCCGTCTCAAGAGCAAGGGATGCGACAAGGACTGGATGCAGGAGCCAGTGCCCCTCAGCGTGCCCGAATCGCACAGCCCGCCGACCAGTCCGACATCGTCGACCTGCGCCAGCACATCAATGACACAAAGCAGGAGTTCATGGGAGCCCTTGCCAAGGTCGAGGAGTCGATGGGTGCGTTGTCCAAGTCAATCAAGCGCGGCTGGGAGTCGATGGACCACAAGCTGGAGAGCCGCTTCACAGCCTTTGATGAAAGGGAATCCGCACATGAAGCTAGAACCGACGTCATGGAAACACAAACACGTACCTTACAAGCTGCTCTAGATGTGGTTAAGTCTGACAAGCCTGTGCCTCCCCCCACAAGCATCAATTTCGACAGAGAGATCGATCACTCCATCCTCATTTTCAGGACCAAGCTCTCTTCGACCCAGTCCGACGTGCTCGCCAGCCTGCAGGGTTGGCTCCAGCGCGCCAACTTGGACCCCTTGGGAGTATGAGATGGAGTCCGAGCCGACCACCACCAAGCACATTATGCGGATTAAGGGCAGTAGACCATACGGTGCGCGGAAGGTCCAACAAGCGTTGGGGGCTCTCCGCCAAGCTAACAATGAATGGGAGCGGTTCTCTGTACTCAGTGCGGGCAGTCAGCAGCAGCAGGAGATCCTCATATCCCCAGATAAGAACCAGGCCCAGGTCAAACGTGAGTTGGGAGTCAAATATGCACGGCGCGAATTGGAACGATTATGTCTTCATCAGAAGTTTTTCAGTGACAAGCTCAAAGGAGAAATCTCATGCCAGTGGAGGCCACTGGTACGCATCGACCCCCGTGCTGAGCAAGAGCCTGCCATCTCCTTCTCGAATGAGAACCCGGCGTTCTTCGGCATCTCCAAGCCGACGCTCTGTGAGGCCATCAAGGCGAACTACAAGCAGACGGAGGGCACCACGTGGAGTATTTAGCCCTCTGTTCGGCGCTTGGCATGATAAGTCAGGTCGTAGCATGCCCCTGCGACTTGTGACTTGGAACGCTAGGGCACGTTTTCACTTCGAGGTTGCCTGCAAGTCAACCAAGTTGCGCAAGGTCCGCTCTTTATGGCGACCTGGGACATTCGTTGCG